GCTTTTTGGTAGATTCAACAAGCCGTTCAAGTAGCCCTTCAAGATGTTTACGTTGGCTGGTTTCTGATTGTTTTAACTTCTTACCATCTTCAGAAATGAAAAGCTTAGCGAAGTATTCCAGCCATATTCTGCTTCTTGGGTCCCTATTGTTCCTTATGTCCTCCCCATAAATTGGGAAATAAGTATGGTTGTGGACCCATTGCAAATCAAAACTAACATTTTTCATACCCCCACTTTTTGAATCAGGTATACAAAATGTGTTATTATCTCTATTGAAAAAGCTCAGCAGCAGCTCAAGGGTGGGCCGATCAGGCGCAGGAGCCCCAAACAAAATGTAGTGCTGAAATATAGAACCGCAGTATGCATCCCTATGCCACTGACGGATCTTCGGGGCAAGGCGCTTCATAAATGCCCAATAAGCCCCGATATTGGCCGTTAACCTTAGTGTTTCTGCTGAGCCTGTTAGAGCAATTTTTTTCCTGCAAAAAATTTTCGAATTTGTAAGTTCAATAAGACATATGAAACAATATTAGACCTAGCACTAACGGGAACAAAATAGAGCTAACACGTAATATTATAGAACTAACATTGGACTCATATTAGAACTAACATTGGACTTAAACTAGATCTAACGTTGGTATAAATTTAGAACTAACATTGGACAAAGCCTAGAACTAACAATATTGGGTTAATCTGCATTGTCTCTTCGCGGTATAACATAAGCCTAGAACTAACAATATTGGGTTAATCTGCATTGTCTGTTCGTAATATAACATAACACTTACTGTTTTTTTTAGGGGGGGTCGTTGGTACGACCAGCCATTGTCGTCCTCCTTTTCTGGTCTCGCCATTGTAATGCCTCCTTTTGCATTTCGATTAGGGTTTTCGTAGCTTCCGTAGCTTCCTCCGTGCTGCCACCCGCAGATGAAGCGTCTTTTCCTTCCAACTCGGCTCGGTGCCCGACCTCGTAGTCGTTATTGGATTTTTCCGTAGACGACGACATTTTTCCGACGAAAACCCTAGAAATGTTAAAATTCGTACAGAAATTAGGAAGATGAAGAGTTCTTGATGACGGTGCTAGGTGGAAGAGAGAGAAAGAGAGGGAGAGTACTTGTAAAGGTGAGGGGCACATTAACCCAGCTCGGTCCCATCAGAGGGCAAGATCGTAACTTCCGCTGGGCTTTTTCTGAAAAGAGTCAATTCGGGACCTCGTCGCAAATACTATGCGTATTTGGGGCTATTCCACATGGGGCAAAATACAGGGCCCAGCTCAGTCCCATCAGAGGGCAAGATCGTAACTTCCGCTGGGCTTTTTCTGAAAAGAGTCAATTCGTGGCCTCGTCGCAAATACTATGCGTATTTGGGGCTATTCCACATGGGGCAAAATACAGGGGGCTAGTCACACGAAGTTCCCACTTTTAGGGCCTCGACACATTTTTCCCTTTTATCTTTCCAATAACTTTCCACAATTTTCCTTTCCTTTCTTTTCGAACATTAACATAATAGTTAATCACAGTGTACGATGTAATAATAAACCAATGCAGACAAGACAACGGAGTCGTCCTCATATCGATTAGTCGTTAAATTTAATTACATTAAGCGAGTACAATTAGCATGTACAGCCGGTTTATTGCATAGAGCCCGACATGTTTAGATAACTTAAGAATATATTAAATGCACAAAAATAAAAGATATTTATTACAGACTGCTCTGATACTGATAAAAGAAGAAACAGAACAGGGTAGGGTGCTCACGTGGCGGTGAGAGTCCGGAAACCCAATAAAATCAACGGTAACCTCACCACACCTCGCTCCCTCACTCTACTTGCAGCTGAATGGCAATATAGCAATTATCCCCAGTAGTCAGTGTCAACCAAATAGCATCCTCCCATACTAGTAATAAGAAAGAGCAAAAAAGAAAGGAAAAAAAAAAAAAAACCCTAACCTTTTGATTCTCCTCCAATGAGATCACAATGCAGAAGATGAAGAAGACGATCGAGGGCGGCAGTGGCAAGCTCTTCATCTGCTTCACCTCCTGCCCATCCTCCTCCTCTGCCTCCGTCGTAGCCGCCTCCACCATGCACAACCCCTAGTCAAAGTCCCTGATGAGCCTACGCGCGGCGCCGCTCCTCAAACCCTTGCTGTCGCTCCCTCAGCCGCCGCCTCCGCAGCGCGCATCAAAGGCGGCCAGTCGCCGATGTTCCCCGCGCCGGCGCCATCTCCGTCGGCGCGGAAGGAAAAGGCTCGGCGCTTTGAAGCCGCGGAGCGTCGTCCCCAAAAGTGACCTGCATTGGTCAAGTTAGGGTAAAATCGAAGAAGAAAAGGAGCAAGGCGATGACGAAATCAAAGTCGGTGAGCAGGTCGAGATCTGGGAGAGGAGAGGCGAGCTTTAGGAGGAGTGAGGCGGCGAGCAGGAGGTGGAAGACGGTGAGCGTTTGCGATGCGTTGAGATCGTTTGGGTCGGAGATTAACTGTTTCGTGCCGTGTGGGTGGTCGATTTGCTCGTCGAGAGGGGATGAGGAGATGAAGAGGAGGAATTGGTTGATGGCGATCGAGGAGGAGAAGGGGATGGGGAGGGAGTTTGTGGGTCTGGTTGTGGAGGAGAGGGAAAGGGGGTTGGTTAACTGGAAGAGTGGGGAGGAGGAGGAGGAGGAGGAGGACGTTGAGCTCAAGTTTTTTGAGAAGAAGGAAGAAGATCCTGTGGTTGTTGAGAAAGAGGTGATGAAGGAGGAGGAAGAGGAGGAGAGTGTTAATGTTTGTGTTCCGCCGAGGAATGCGCTTTTGTTGATGAGGTGCAGGTCTGATCCTGTGAGGATGGCGGCTTTGTCTAAGCGGTTCTGGGATTCTCCGGCGATGAAGGTCCAAGAAGGGGAAGCAGAGGAGGAGGAAGAAGTTGGTGATGAGGAGAGCCACGGAACAGTTGAGAATCATGTAACTGAGGAAGAAGGAGACGCTGGTGAGGTTTATATCGAGAGAAGCTCGATTGATGCAGAGGAGGAAGTAGAGAAAGAGGTGGTTTTAAATGAAGAGAAGCCTGAAGAAGTTGATTGTGTTATAGAAGACAAGATTATTGTAGTTGAAGAAGATAAGGGGGAGGTAGAGAAGGAAGTTGGGGTTGTAAATGAGCTTGAGGAGACAAAAGAAGAGATCTTTGGCGAAGTGATTCAAGCTAAGGTGGCAGAGAAAGTAGAGGAAACCGTGGCCATTGATGAATCAAGAGAGAAGAAAGAAGAAGCACACGCACAAGGAGAAGAGACCCTTGATGTGCGAAGAGGAGGAGATGAGGTAGGACAAGTAGAGATCATACTGAGGAGATCCATTAGCTGCTCTGTTCCCAAAAGCAATGATTTTGCCTCCAAGGCCAAGGAAGGAGGAAAGAGGCGCAGCTTCTCGTACAGAGAGAAGAAGGAGAATAGGAGGCACAGCTTCTCAACAGAGGGGGAGGCAAGAAGGCCTAGTTTCAGCTCAGAGAAAGAAGCGAGGAGATCTAGCTTCTCCGTCGACAAAGAAGGCAGAAGGAGATGGAGCTTCTCGATTGAGAAGGAGAATTTGGGTCCAAAAGGGAAACCCAAGGTCCAGTCTCAAGCCCAGAAGAAGAACGAAGCGCCACCCGCGAAGGAGGAAACAGCCGTAGAGCCCAAGATCACCGATGAAGTAAGAGAAAAGATCCAAGTGAGCAAGAGAGATGAAGCCCAAGTATTAGGGGGAAAGGAGAAGAAGATCAGAGAGTTGCCCGAGTGCCTTCTTCTGATGATGTACGAGCCCAAACTATCAATGGAGGTATCGAAAGAAACATGGGTCTGCAGCACAGACTTCCGATGGCGTCCCAATTACAACCACCCACCCAAAGCCAAACCCAAATCCAACACAGACGATGACAGCAATAGAATTGAAGAAAAACCCGCGGAAGACAAGAATGTGATTGCTGTCGCAAATGCAAATGCAAATGCAAATGCGACGACTGCTCAAGAAACTCCGTCAAGAACTCAGCCAGCGGTTCCAGCGACGGAGCAGAAACTGCTGAAGAGCTCGCCGTTACCTGCACATTTTGTCCTGACTAGATGCAAGTCTGAACCGATGAAATCGTCGGCAAGGCTGGCGCCGGATGCGTGGTTCTGGAAGTCCCGGCATCAGCCCATTGGCACCGCCGGCATTGGATTCTGATGCGGCCAAGTTGGTAATTTTTTTGTTGTCATGCGAGTGAAAGGTAGCGTGTGATAGTGTTTTTTTGGGTTATTTTCTAAATTTGATTGGCTGTTGTTGTACAATAATTAGTATTAAAAGTTGGCTTATCATCACGAACGTTTGGCAAGATCTTTGACTAGTTGTTTGTATGAATGATGTTTGCATGAATTGATATAAATCCACTTCAAATCATAGGAATTCACATCTTTAGCTAGTGCGTTGATTCATGTTTGTTATTGGTTTTATTGTCATTGTTGAAATGGTTTAACAAAGATGCATCATGTATTTTTACTGGCCTTATTTTGTTCTAAAAAGTACTGGTCCCCTTCACCCATAACTCAGTTAACCGGGGCCACTGGCTGCTTGATAAATTAATCTCATAATAGTACACAAATAAACAGCCTCTTATGCTAGCTATAGGTCCCCCGCAGCTAATAAGAGACAAATGACATAGATCAGCCAACAAATACTAGCAATGGAAGCCTGTGGGCCTTGAAGCCCACAAGCAAAAGCATCATCAGCACACAGCTGGTGCCAGGTCCTTGATCAGTGTGTTCTTGGTCGTAGCTGAATCTTGAAAATGGTACAGTGCTTGACATCTCTCTCTATCTCTCTCTGTGCATTAAAAGACCATGGACCACTGGCTTAGACAATGGAGCTTAATACTTTTATTTTAGTTCATGTTGTGGGGTCTTCAAGCAAAAATAAAGCTGGGTGACAGAAAACTGCAGAGGTTTTTAGAATAATTGGAAAATTTATGCAAGCCGCTTTATGTGGTTTTGATTTCTGTGAGACATCCTTGATGCTCGAAACTTCCTTTGCGAAGCCCTTCAAGACTTTTGTTACTGAAAGAGCTAAATTGTTAACTAGCGCTTTTCTATTGTTATGTTAGAAAGATATATTGCAGAGCATACTTTACTAAGTATGATACTCTCTGTTTCATTATTGACGCTCGTGTATTATTTCAGGGTTTATTATTTTGCAACATAGTAATGTAAGCAGGGTGATTGCATGATTTAGGATTTGGGAATTAATTAGTGTTGGAGGAGGGGTTGAACTAAAGTTTTCCCCTCGAGAGAATAATCAAATAGAGGAAAGGAGGAGAGAAAGGAGAGGAAAGGGTGAGGGCACATGGTGAGCATGCGGACGGGGAAAGAGAAGGGCTAGAAATGTCCAAAAAGGGGTCCTGGGTTTGCTGCTTCAGTGCACATGAGGAGAGATAAAGGTGAAGATTTTCTTTCAACAATTTATTAAAAGCATATGAGAGAGAGAGAGAAAGAGGAATCTTTGTGGTTGCTCCACTCTCCTCCTAGTTATTAAACTTAGACTAATTGTTTAACGTTATCTATGCAACTCTTGAAACAAGTATCAATGATGTCTATGCTAATGAATTCTGGCTTGGAGTGTTGAAAACAAGCATCAAAACAATTAAGAATGGATGTATATGCATGAAATCTTTTCTGAAGGAATCTTACAGATAAAAGGATTTCTCGATATATATTGCCAAATGATAACTATTTTTAGTTTATTCTCGAAAGCTTATAATTATTAACTTGTCCTCCAATTTGCTCTCTCTATCCAATTATGCTTTCCCAACCAATGTCGGTTAAAAACCTTAACAGTTAATGTGGAAAATCTCTTTTTTTTAAACCTCTGTTAATATGCAAATTTGGGACAGTCTTGGCGAGGAGGAAGAATATCAGAATTGTGTTGTCAGCGTGCGGGAGGAGATGCCCATTTATTTATTTAACTAAATTTTGAGTAGGCGGGGCAATATGCAGATGTTTTGTTATGTAGTATATATAATTGATGACTTTGATTTATATGTGCAGTCGGTTTTTCCCCGTGACATGCTTTATTGGACGCTACCCGTTTCCTCATGCATCAAAATTCTGTTTCCTCCAAGGAAACCAGAGATCTTGCGCTGGATGATCTTATACATTAAATTTTGCTAACAGAATTTTCCTATGAAGTGGTTAATTTGCAACCTGCTGCTTTATTAACTACAAGCGAGCATCTTCCCGGGTTTCGCAGTAAACGTTTCGTCTTCGGAAAATGCAGTATTCTTTCATATCGTCTTACTATTTGTCAGAGTTCGAGTCACTTAAAGAAAGGCGTGTCGCATATCCCAACGGCTCTCGATTGCTATTGGTAAATACGAAGTAGTCTCTTTCTATGCTGCGTCATTTCTTTTAAGTTTATCTCCTGATTATTGGATTATTCGTGCGACGCCAACCTAATGCTTTAAAATAACCCGAGAAATTGAACTCGTCGCAACTTAGCCCAGCAGGCCTTGTGGGTATCTCAGCGACAACCCCAACATTTAAACTCTCTATAAAAGGACGGTGAATGGATCCTCCTAACTTCACTACAGCCCTTCTCCCCTTCCTTTTAAAGAAAAATAATTGTTGAGCTCACATTTATATTCCATGGAAAATTTTGGTCTACTAGGATCTCGGTTTCCACCAGGATTCCGATTCCATCCAACTGATCAGGAACTTATCACTCATTATTTGAGCAAGAAGGTCACATCGTCTCAGACTCCAGCAACATCGATAATTGCCGATGTTGATATATACAAGTTCAATCCCTGGGAACTTCCTGGTAAATCCTTGTTCCTGTTGGAGCTTTGTGATTCCCCGTTAGGAGTCATTCTCTTGGATAATCCTGAAGGAGAAGCGATTTTAGACCATCTCTTGACCTGTTATCTTCAAGTTGCTCTTATATATATCTACCAAATGACCGTTACGCAAGCAACTACATATATGGAACTAAATATTTTAGTTCAGAACTCATCCTGGCAATTATTTGAGTGCACAACTTGCGCTGGATGATCGAGGACGAAAGTGATGCGCAATGATATATTATTAACATAATGGAGGTCATGGTGAAATGTAAATCTGGCATGATGTCTTTGTTAACAAAAATTAAATACCGAGAAAATGATAGGCTTAGACTTTGAAGCATTAGGGTAAACTATGATATCATCATATCTCTGGCACTGCTTGCAATTTTAAACTGATGCATATTTTGTTTGTTTTTGTTGTTTCCTTTGATCAGACAAGGGTCTCTTTGGAGAGGGAGAATGGTTCTTCTTCAGCCCAAGGGATCGGAAATATCCTAATGGAAGCCGACCCAATAGGTCAGCAGGTTCAGGATACTGGAAGGCAACAGGTGTAGACAAGCCAATCATCGCAACTGGTGGGTCCCAGTGCCTCGGTGTAAAGAAATCCCTGGTATTTTACAAAGGCCGGCCTCCAAAGGGGACCAAGACTGACTGGGTCATGCATGAGTATCGCCTTCTTGATCACAACAAGTCTTCTTCTTGGTCTCAGAAGCACAAGGGTTCAATGAGAGTAAGTTCACTACTAGAGCTCTTTCAGATCCCATCTGTGCAGCCTTTAACGGTTTGATTAATTGTTGCAGTTGGATGACTGGGTTCTATGTCGAGTGCGACAGAAAGGCAGCTGTCCGTCAGCGTCAGAAACCGCTGACAAAGATGAGAACAAAATTTCCACCAATTCCTGTTTCAGTCAGAACTCAAAGCAACAGAAAGCTTTAGGGGAGGAGAGGACTAATAACTTGTATGAATGGAGTGATAACCAACTTTTATGTTATCTGATGAGTTTACAAGAGGGAGGAGGAGCAAGCACGGCAGGCTCCCATTCTTCGGAACCTTTTTCCATTGATGACACGAATGGATGTGGATATGCTGATGCCTCCGCTAAACCACCACAGCATGTATCATCAGTGCTTGATTCAATCAAACGGAAGCTATCATTTTGTGCACTTGATGAGCTCATGTTGCTGCCCCCAAACAAGAGATTACACTATTCTCATAATGTTTATGTTGAGTCATCGCCTACAAGTTCATCATCAGTTGATCAGTTGTTTACCGAGTCTGTAATCTAATCATGTAGATATGGTTTCTGATGGCAAATAATTTTGTTAGTTCGTCCTTAGAGATATACCTGGCTCAAGGAAAACATATTTTCGCCAGAAGCAAAAGCTGCGCAAGGACTTTGTAACCTCTATCAATAATCGAGCACGCATGTACAAAGTTAGCACAGTTAAGTATCCGTATTCTGTCTGAACCAGTGTAACTGACCCGGACGAGGACTTCAAAAGGAGTCCATACTGTCGTTAGAACAAACTTGAATATGACTTCAAATTGTTCTGTGCTATATATATGGAGGGTGATTTCCATCCAAGTGTTGTGGAAGCAGGAAGCAAAATACTTTCAGTAGATCGCTTGGTCTTGACATATAGTATGTATTATTAATTGAGAGTTCATACATAAAATTTACTACCTGACCTTGCTGCAATATATTTCTCTGTATGCTCGTGTTTCAGAAACACCTAGCGCTAACAGGTCATATAAATTTCAGAAAAAACAAGGTTCTTTTTAACAGAGTGATTGGTAGAATTTAGAACCAATGCATATTCGGATCTGCTGCGCCTTTTCTAAGAACTAGGTTTTATACACGTGGTTAAATATCATGATTAAGTATTTTTAGTTTATTTTCTAACTAAAATTTGTTCCTCAGTTCCACTTCAATAGTTTATGCTCTTTTGTCTCTAAACTTTAATATTGCGATTAGTTGTTTTCTTTGATGTTTGTTTAAATAGGCTACACCCAATTTAAATTTTCATGTTAATATTTGAATTGATAGAAAACAAATATAATTTGAAACTAATTTGAACTTTCATATTATTTTGACTGACATGAAACCAAGCTTTACTTGAGAAAATACAGTGTTGCAAAAGTAAAAAATATTAAAACAGTGTTATACAACGAATGTGAATATTTAAAATCAATAAGGCAAAATAACTGCTTAAAAGTATGCTAAAACGATATAAAAGAGAATATAAAGTTTGTTCCTAATCATTGATAGACTTCATAAAAATTATAAATTAAAGATTAATGCTAACTCTAGTATACTTTTATATGATAAAAACATCTGTACAAGCATATAAAAGTACTGAAAAAAGCTTATGAAACTCTCTTCTAAAGATTTTTAAATTCACTCAAAATAATTAAACTATTCTATGAAACATTCAGAAAATATTATCTTTTATTCCTTCTATTTTATTTTTTTACTGAGGTAATATCAATCATTCCTCACATTTATCTTTTTCCCGGGTAATTCTAGAGCAGTATCTTCATCATCTACTTGATTGTGACATCAAGCTAGAGTTGTACTTTTGTGCTGTTATCGTTCATGAGCTCGTTAATCTTTTATCTTGTTGTTTAACTTCACAAAAAGTTAAATATATTTCCGATGTTCAACACAAACTTCTTCAAATACAGACTTTGATTTTTTTATTTCAATGATAATAAATATTAATTTCATATATATGAAATTCTTTGTGTTCCTAATTTATTACGTAAATAAGATTAGGAGCTACCTCTCTTTTTTTCTACAATGAATTCTTCTGATATGATCCAATATGAGTTTCTGTTACGCCAATAATATTATATTTGCTCTATCCCTGTTATTTTTCACAAAGATCTAAACTAAATACTTGTATTTTTTATTGTCAATTTGCCTTGGATCATAATATTAATATTTAATTTATTTAGTATTTGAAGAACAAAGTATGAAATTTATGAATGCTTATTATTTTTCTTACATCTTCCATGCAGAATTCTTCTTTGATTGGGATAAAGTTATTAAATTATTCTTCAATGTAACTGTAAAACCTTAAAATTTTTAAAAATATTATTATAAATGATAATAAATAAGTTTTATTATGATTGGTGATTATTCTGGGATGAATGGATCAGATTGGTATCGATTTGAGATCGATTCGCAGTTTTAGCCTCAGTATCGCGAGTCTACTGAAAACTGATACTACTTTATTTTTAGTAATTTTTCTATTGATCAGATGGGCATAAAATTTACGCTATTGATCTTAGAATGTCGAGAACGTATTGTGGGTAATGTTTCGTTGAGTTTTGACGACAGAGACTGAAACTCAATTTTTAAATAATAAAATAATATTCATATATTACTATTTTATTTTTAGTAATTTTTTTATTAATCATATGGACGTGAGGTTTGTACCATTGGTCTTAGAATTTTAAGACATTGTTATTGTTAAAGTTTCGTTGTGTTCTGACAACGGAGACAGAAACACTATTTTGAGACGGTATTACGTCTACTAATATCTATCGTATTTATATTTTTAATAATTTTTTATTAATTGTATGGACATGATGTTTACACCATTGATCTTAGAATGGAGAGACAGTGCTATGGGTAAATTTTCGTTACTTTCTGAGAACGGAGTCTGAAATCCTATTTTTAAAATAATATAAAATATTATATATTATTTTTTTCTCTCTTTTTCCTATGCCACCAACCCCGCTGCTCTCACCCTCTATAAAAGGGGCCCTCCTCCCTCACTCTCTTCTCACAAATCAGCGGGAGAAAGAAGAGAGAGAGAGAGAGAGAGAGAGAGAGAGAGAGAGAGAGAAAGGGACGAGGAGAGAGAGAGAGAGAGGGGACAGAGAAAAAAAGAGGAAAGAGGATTTTGGCAATTGAGAGAGCAGGAACGGATATGGATCTTAATTTCAGAGATCAATAAAGGCAAGTTCATCTCTTTCCAAACCTCCCCATTTAGTTTTGATATTGATAAAAATTGATGAATTTTAGATCAAATCCCAAAAATAAAGAAAAGACATGATATTAATGAAAATTGATGAATAGAATATAAGACCAAATTTCTAAAGATAAGATATTGCTAGCTAGAACTATACGTACATGTCACCGCTGAAAAATACTATTACTATTCATACATTCGGTACTATTCATAAGTACGGTTGTTATTCATATGTACGGGGGTACTATTCATAAATACTATTACTATTCATACATATGATACTATTCATAAGTACGGTTACTATTTATATGTACGGGGAGTACTATTCATAAGACTGTTACTATTCATACATATGATACTATTCATAAGTACAGTTACTATTCATATGTACGGGGGTATTATTCATAAAATATTGTTACTATTCATACATATGGTACTATTCATAAATATGGTTACTGTTCATATGTACGGGACTATTCATAACTACTATCACTATTCATACGTATGAGTACTATTCATACGTACGAAAAAACTATTCACCGACGGTGTTAGTGTTTACAGATCGGGTCTTGTTTTGCCTCGAACGTTTGATGGCGGACACGATGCACGGGCTACACATTGATACACGTGCGTGTCCATGAGGAGTATGAGTGGGTTCGAGTACACATGTATCCTCGGGAGTGGGTAACCTCATGTATTGTTTTCGTCACAACTAGGAGACGACTAGTAAAAGTAATATATGTTTGGATATCGTTGATGAGCAGAGCTCAGTACTATTTGGGGATAGTGCGTTGATATACTATATATGCACAGTTATATACATGTTGGATACCGTTGATGAGTACAGCTCTGTACTACATGGAGGTAGTACGTCGATATACCATTTGTACATGCCATTGAGTCGGGTTTGAGAATACTTGATCTAGCAGTCCGTCCCGCACTAGTGTGCGATGAGGCTTGGTCGTATTTCTAGGATGCCTATTTGGTAGTCCGTCCCGTACTCATGTTACGTACTAAGATGCGATGAGACTAACGAGCCGTGTATACATTTGGGATACCGGCTTGGTAGTCCATCCCGCATGATAATGCGATGAATCAGGAACTTGCAAAGAATTGCATTGTGACGATTGTTGATAGCTTGAGTCTTTGGTGGATGCCACTTATGAATATAACTCATCGCTGAGATATGAGACTGATGTACTTTGCCTTTAAAAGTACGTGGAACTATATGCTGATATTTATTTTATCTTCCCAGTGATAGTAGAAGATATTATAAATATGATATTTTGATGTCTTTACTATTCTGTATGTGCTTTTCTCTACTTCTTAGTTGGGATCAATGATTAACGATTCACAATTTGAGACATATGGTATATACATGAGGGTTTCATTATTTGGATTATTTTGCTTGACGTACCAGTCTCGTGTTGTGGGTTTCTAATTGTTGATTTTATTTAGATTGTTTATTCTTGGTTCGGTATTAATATTTAGTTATCTACAAGTTGAGACATATGATATATACATGAGGGTTTCCTTATTTGTATTATTTCGCTTGATGTACTACATCTCGTGTTGTAGATTCCTAAATATTAATTCCACTTAGATACAGGGTAAATGATCTAGGTAGACTATACTTATAGAAAGAGCCTCCGTCATATGTAGTAGCCCTTCCCCTGGGGGCGGACGGAGATGTTCTTGTTGTAGCACCCTGACGCTCTTGTTGTTGTTCTTTTGTTGTTTTCAATTCCTTTCAGGTAGTTCAGAGTTCTGGAGATCCACAGGATGACCGACTTTCAACATAGTCACTGTCACTCAGTTTTAGTAGTTGAGACTCCACCGTAGATTTATATTATTATTCAGACATTAGAGTTTTGTATTTCATTTTGTAAAGGTTGTATGCCTTAGTTCATTTTCAATTGACTCATGTGAGATACTTCATTTTTATTTTAGACATCAGATGTATTTCAGTTTATCCAGTTGAGATATGATGTTATTTATGAGATATATCTTTCTACATCATGTCTATTGTAGTTACTTTCCTTATTTTACATGTTTTGTACCTGTACTTATATTTAATTCTACTAGAGGATATTACTGTGATTGGTGAAACGTATTGATGCATAGTGTAGGTGCATGACAGGTTTGACATCTCTAGGTTCACCTTGGACTACAGCCATGTGTGAAAAAAATAACGTCACAGTAACTCAGTTGGTACTTCTTTAATAAAAATGTTTTATGTTAATGCCAATTCAAATGATTCATGGATGTTTTCTGAATTTTAGATTTATTTTCGTCACTTACTCATTTGCAATGGGAATAGCTTGATCTTTTTGAATGATACCTCTGAACATTCTGATAGTTTCTTCATACATAATTCATTGTATTCATTTACCCTTTAAATATTATTAACATCAGATATTAATATTTTTAAATTATAATTAATTAATACTAAGCTGTTATATTATAGT